TTTTTTTTTGTTGCAGTTTGGCCAGGGCTGGGTTTGAACCTGCCACCCTTGGTAATATGGGGTCAGTGCCCCCCACCCCCTTTTTAATTGATACAGAGTCTCACTTTGTTGCCCTCTGTAGAGTACTGTACTATCATAGCTCACAGCAACCTCAAACTCTCAGGCTTAAGCAATTCTCTTGCCTCAGCCTCCCTAGTAGCTGGGACTACAGGTGCCCACAACTTAACGGCTTTGTTTGTTTTTGTTTAGTAGGCCTGGGCTAAGTTCAAACCCACCAGCCCTGGTGCCTGTGCCCAGTGCCCTAACCACTGAGCTATGAGTACCCAGCCAATGTAGTTATTTCTACTTTGATTGACAATGTGCTTTTAAGCATACTTCTGTTAAAAACCAATAAAAATGGTTTGTAAATTCCTAATCTTAGAGCAAAAGGCACTAATCACATAATCAATTTGTTAAAATGTTAAGAAAAAATAGCTGCTTAAATTTTAGTATTTTATATACATACCTAGCTTTAATTATTTTAGAAACAATACTCTAAAAATTATCTGTAGAACAAGATGTGGCCAGTTGCAGTGGCTCCTGCCTATAATCCTAGCACTGCAGGAGACTAAGGCAGGTGGGTTGTTCGAGACCAGCTGCCTAAGCAAGAGCTAGACTCCATCTAACTAGCTGAGCATACAGGCCTCTAGTCCCACCTACTTGGGAAGCTGAGGCAAGAAGATTGCTCAAGTCCAACAGTTTAAGGTTGCTGTGAGCTATGATGCTACAGCACTGTACCCAGGGCACAGAGTGAAACTGATTCAAATAAATAAGATGTATGAACAGTTAAAAAAAAATTTTTTTTTTTTTTTAGGGGAGACAATGAAATCATCTAGCTAATTAAAAATTTAAGTTCAGAAGGCAATTCTGCTAAGAGTTCCTTCTTCCTCTTTTACTTGTAAGGCCTAGATCCGTTTAATCACCAACTACTACCCTAAACCAGAGAGAAACAAAACTTTTGATCTCTATGCCCTCACAACCGAGGAGTTATAAAGTATAACTGTATGTTCCCAATGGATACCTACTGACCAGTTGTTTTTTAAAAATTGGCCAAATGGTATTAGGTAATGTGTGTCAGGTAGGTTTAATAAGTAATGGTAAGAGAGACATTAATAGAGCATTCAACTTAACTATTAACCCATTTCCCCTTAGGGAGGTAGGGAAGGGAAAGGCAGGATAGGATAGTCTGCATATACTCTACCTGTCAGCAGTCTTGATTGCTACTTGAGCTTTAGTGATAGCAGAAGCACATTCATCTAATTGCTTATTTATTTTATCAAGTTTATCTTGTTGGGCCTTGAGTTTATGGTTATTGATTTCTATAATTATGTTATGTAAGCGTTTAACCTCAGCTTCTACTTTACCAGCTTTCTCAGCCACATCATCATATTCTGAAATTAAAAGATAAAAGAGCTTAATCTGTGTCTGTATGGTAATGAGTATCACTTGTTAAGATGTTAATTTCTTAAGTT